AATAGTACTTAAGATGTAGTCTTTTGAAAAATGAAAACTAGAAAAGTTCCACTTTCGGTTGTCGGAAATCGCTGGAGAGATCTAAAACTTTGATAAACTACTTATATATGAAATTTCATTTCCCCAACCTAGCTGAAATGGCAATCAGCTTATTGTGTTTACATACACACACACACACACACACACACACACACACACACACACACACTACACACAGACATACGGACAAGACTGCAAAACTATGTTTTTCCGACTCAGGGAGGTGTAAAACTTCGAGATTTGTAAAAATCTTTATTTTTACTTTCTCGTATATACGAAGTATAGAGAAAGTATTGTAATCGTGCAAAAAAAAATCGAGATTTTTACAAATCTCGACGTTTTACATCTCACTGATACGGAAAAACATAATTTTGCAATCTTGTCCGTATGTCTGTGTGTCTGTCTGTGTGTCTGTCTGTCTGTCTGTCCGTGTGTAAACACGATAACTTGAGTACTGTGACAGCTAGGTTGATGAAATTTCATATATAAGTATTTTATCAAAATCGTAGATCCGTATCAACTTTTGAGCGATTTCTGATAACCGGAAGTGGTACTTTTTCTACTTTGAAATTTTCAAAAGCCTATAACTTAAGTACTATTTCAGATCGATAAACAAAATTTCACATGTAAGTAAAAGATCTAATTCTCTACCTTCTGTTAAATTTTGAGTCATTTCCGTTGAACGGAAGTAGTAATTTACGCTACTTCCGATTTCTCAAAAAACTAATGTAAATTTTTAAAGTACTAATAATATTGCGCCTTATTATGCACTATTTTATTTAGCGTTCACTTGGAGTGCAATTCTTTTGTCTAAGAGATTTTATTCTATTTTTAAAACTTTAAGTATTTAAAATGGATTAAAAATCATGTCTATAGCCCGAGTTCCCATCCCCTGTTATTTTATATAAAAATATTCGAGAAAGTTTAGGGGAGATCACTCCCGGTTTATTTTATTTACACAATTACAATACTTTCTCTATAATTTGTATATGTGAAAGTAAATGGGCTATTCTCTTCAACGAATATTTCATTTCCGCCCCTGAGCTGAACACTGAAACGGGATATGCTTCATTTGTTTGTATCTTAGTGCTGCGCTGTGCTTTGATGTTGTATGATGTACTGTGATGTTGTATGCTGTGCTATAGGCCCTACTTCTTTAAACATGTGACACTTTAGAAATGATTCTGCTTTTCTATGTGTGCTCTCATGAATTCTTTACCCCTCAACATGGTAGTTCTAAAAAGTATTTGAAAACGAATCGGCGCATTTTTAGCGCCTTTTTTCATGCTTTCAAATTCATGCATCTGGATGTTAAGTGCATATCAAACAGCCATTTTGTCTTATTTAAAAAAAAAATAACTCAATGACACCAACCAATTTTGTAATACGGAATTCTTTTTTAAAACAACAAAACACATTTCAAATTGTACACTCACTAATGTACGTGCATTTTACCTACTTATTTCCTTAGCCGCTAGTTAAAAAAGGATATGTAAGACAAGTTAACAACTAATTTAATCAGATCAATCATTTCTTTATTATTTAATTTAATATTTTATCACAATCTACTCTCATGAGTCTACACAGATTTATGCACCAACAACATCCACACCACACTACTGGCCATCCATAACAACAGAATAAAACACGCCACTCGTATTAACATTAAACTTCGCGTTTTTAGTATTATCTTACACTTTATACACATCCACATGTACACCACACTGTCCGTCATCAGCATCATCTTACACTTCATTCACATCCACATCTACACCACACTGCCCGTCATCAGCATCATCTTACACTTCATTCACATCCACATCTACACCACACTGCCCGTTATTCACAGCCACCTGTTACACATGAACTCTTTGCCCCTCAACAGTTTTATTGTCTAGAAAATTTAAAACAATCTCACTCGTTTTAATCGTCCTTTGAAATTTACAAATGTCACACTGCATTAGTTATTATCGCAAGCAAGCATTATGCAAACCAGTAAACCATACAAAACTATATTCTAACATTACTTTGAACCAGATGCGTAGCGACCCTTACCGGCACCCGGCGACAAACTTTTCGTTTTGCACCCCCTCTCAAGATTTTTATTTGCACCCCATCCCCCCTCAAACTTTCGATTTGCACCCCCTCGACCTTTCAATTCATTTTTTCAACCCATTCGGCGCCCGGGGACATATGCCCCCCCCCCCGCCCCCCCCCCCCCCCCTCGCTACGCAACTGCTTTGAACTCAGTTACGGAGGCATCCATCTGATGTAATGTTATGTAAACCAGTTAACCTGTAAACATTAAAGGCGAATAATTGATTGATCTAGCTTATACATACTTCATATGCTGACGTCACAGGCGAACTCTATACCTACCCAACTCTACTTCAACTTCAACTGCCAAGTGTCCTGCCAAGTCTCAGACTACATGTTTTAATCGTTAGAAAAACGATTTCGGACAAGCATGGTTCAGACCAGTTTATCCACGTCATATTCTAAGGACACAGAAACAGATAAACTCTACTTCACCTGCCCTGTGTACCGCGATGTTTCGATAGGCAACCTTATCATTCACGTTGTTGTTTTTTTAAATTGAAAATAAATTGTCATGATGTGTCTCTAAACCGTACCACACGCATGGTAGCCATTACACTATCAACTTAGCTGTATGGGCACTGTCTATCTAACGTAGAATTTGTACTATAATCTACATCAAAGTAAGAAACCGGTTTCGTGAATATGACTTATTATTTTAAATTAAATTAGTGGCCTATATCCCAAATTAGCCAATTCCTTAGCTAAACAAACAAAGATTTATATAAAATAATTAACGCCTGAAATAGTTTAATATATAGATTCTATATCTAGATTCTAGATATAGAATTTACGTTAAGTCTAGTTCTAGATGTAGAATATATGTTAAGTCTAGTTTTTGCCGTAACTCTAGATCTAGAACCTAGATAGATAAATCCCATGTATTCTCGAATTAGATGATAATTGAAGCTAAAAAAGCAAAGATTTATATCAAATATTTAAGGACTAACATAATTTAACAAAGAAATACAATAATTTCTTGTGATTTTTAATGTTAACTAAATAATTTTGGTTTGACCTAGATTCTAGATCTAGTCTATAACTTTTCTTTCCTTCGACAGCTGATCTTTAGATTCTAGATCTAGAGAAATTTATTGTATACTTAAATGAAAAGGACGGTTGAAAATTGATAACAGTGTTGGAACCTAATAGAAACAGAAAACGGAAATATCGTTATAGCTATATCCTGCAGAAAATTGAAATTAGATATAGAATGCGTTATACTTTTGAATAAGCAACGAAATCTTCAATGGAAGCCGCCATTATTGTTATAAAAATTAAATAAATCATGTGGCGTCTCTATAAGTAAAGTCATTGTTCTAAACTTTTATAATTAATGTGGTTTGTCTACCAATGAAGATTTAAATAAATTAATTAAACATCTTTAAATTAATTTCTGATTAACAGGTTGTTTAAAACAGAAAATTGTTCTTTACCTAATTATGTATTGTAGAGCTCTACACAGATTGCAGATTCTCTCCTGTAACCAAACGGACAAGCAAAAAAAAAACAAAAAAAAAACAAACAAATAAAAAACAATTAAATATTCAATTATGTAGTTTTGTGAATGTCTTAAGATTTAAAACTAACATATATATTGATCATATAATAATCATTAATCATTTCTTTACTAACTTTAATAGAGTCATATGGCTAGTTTTTGTAGCAGAAAAACCTTGAGAAGTTTTTTAATTAACAAAATTTGGTGTGTTGAAATACCATAAAAATGTATACTAAATTTAAGAAGAGTAACTGATATATGCAAATATTTTATATTATATACGATATACACATATAAAAATATGAAAAAAAGGCTTATTAATTAAGATCTGCCTAAACACTAAAATTACTCGATTTTTTTCTTTTCTAATGTTATGTTAAACATAGATTTAGTCCATGCTTGGCAACAATTTTAGTTGAAATTGAAATCCTCATCAGGGAACTGTACAGACAGCTTCCTTTGCGACCAGCATTGTGTTTTAAATAGGCGCATATGTGATGGGGTTCCTGATTGTCAAGACGGAACTGATTAACTCCAAATGCAATTCACCAAATACAGTCTTTTACAAAAACAAACGGTGTTGTGTTGGGGCAGGGAAAGTGGCACTTTTCAGCTTTTAGATTTGTAATTGTGCTGGAGAAATGGTTAATTTAACACAGAAATATTTAAGTGAATTAGAGGCAATTACGAAACCCATGGCAGTTAAAAAATATACCAGAAGAAGAAACTTCAATGTATTTGGCAAAGCACGCACTCAAAGAAGCTATCGTCATAAAAAGAAAGACTATGGTGAGGTTTAAAGTCTTTATAAGGAAAGAATAAACAATGTATCAAGTTGTAGATACAGTGACCAAAAATATAATTAGCCACAATCAAAAGGACGTTCCTACTGCGGTACAAGAGGTCACTACCAATCTCAATATTGGTATAGATAGGCAGATCAGAGAAGGAACCATGTGATATTTCTGCCCCTTGGACTGTCTGCCCCCGTCAACAAACACGCTTATATAATTAGACACCGAGTGTGAGAATCTTAAAGTAAATAAAAGGGTGTGTTCTGTTGGAAGCGTAAGGATGTTTACTTTGGGAATCTATAAATAGTTCTTGGGTTTTCTCATTCGTATAGAAGGAAGAAAGATCAGGATGTTCAAAGTGTTTAATATATAAATAATTGCGTGGGAAAATAGTCGTGAGATCGAAAAATATACTAAAATTTCGGTATCAAATATTTGAATATCATATATAAAAGATATTGGGGGATTTCTATGTAACAGAAAGGGAAGTTACATTAGGGGGTTTCCCAGAAATTTTGAAACCTATAAATACAGAGCCATGGAAAGGTACATGGATATACAAGAAAGTAAGCCAACACATGAAATTATAAAAGGTACAATAAAATATTATTAAATATATATATATATATATATATATATATATATATATATATATATATATATATATATATATATATATATATATATATATATATATTCTTTATAACAACTGATTCTAGTTAATTACGACTAACGTATATTAATTTTTACAGTCTAGTTTTTCCAAACTGCTCCCTGCAATGATGCCAACATTCCTCTTTACAATTTTAGCAAGTTTAATTACAACTTCTCTAACGCAGGGTAAGCCAAACAAATATTTTTTAAACGATCCCGGCTAATCGTGAATTCCAATATTTCTAAAGATTTTCGGTTTCTAAATTATATAAAAGTAAGACTGTTATATCAAACTATTATTTTAAAGAGTAAATTAATAAAGGCATAATAATAAATTTTGTGGCGTGTTATATATTCCAATAAGGTTTGACATTCTACATCATTTTGTCTTACAGTCTGCCAAAATGGAGAAATTGTCTTCCTCGTCGACCTTTCCGAAAACGCAAAGTTCGCCGCTTCAACTAATGATAGCCCAACAGATCTAGATCTAGACAGATTTGATTTATTGAGAAGTGCTTTGGACACGGCTTTATCAAATAATTTGATTGCATCATCAAGTACATTTAGGTAAGAAAACTGAAGAGATTTAATTGAATAAAATTGAAACGTATTGTAAAGTGACGACTAATTTACTATAAATTATGGTGACAATCATTGAAAAGCGTAGGGCTTGCAAGCAGCTATCGCATCTAGTTACAAGGGAATAGTGTGATCAGCTCTTTCTCTTATAAAGCTAAACTTGAGAATTTTCGGTTAGCAATCATGTGCACTACCGCTAGATCACGCGGGTTTATTGTTTTAATAAGCTTTTTTTTTAGTTAACACTATTTTTTTTTTGTTGTTTGTGTATATTGTGTATGACTAATATTGAAACTTAATTTTGACCCACATCTATTATGGCGATTTCTTTCCAACTTTACGAGTACACATCTCTCCAATGAAAATGCAAAAATATATTTTTTTAACCCAATTAGCCATTAGATTTGTCATTAATGGCGTGGTCGTATAGTAAGTAGATTGTTTGGCTGCTAACCCGAAAATCTAGAGTTTAAGTCGCGGGTTCGAGTCTGTAGGACATCCCTGATTCTACCCAGCTCTGATGGGTACCTGACTCAGGTTAATGAAAGTAAAGACGGCTGGCTATAGTGTTGACCACAGTATCCCTTCCTATGCCGAGGAAACTGAAACTGGTTAACTCCCATGAACCATCAGGTTCGAAAATGTACTATACTTTTTTTATTCGTTATTTTTTTTAATTACTACATGTAATCACAATGGGTAAGATTTAATACTAGCAATCACTCTATCAGAGTATCAGCAGGCTGTTTACCTCGGGAAATATTCTTATTGTCACGGCTAAGTGTTTTTCTGCTTAGAGGACTAAGAAGGATTGGACGTTACTGGGTTTTAACGCAAATGTTTATTGTGGTAGCTTATGTAGTGTCAACTTTTGATACTGTTGATTGTCAATGGAACACTATTAAACACTGTTTCGTACGCTTTATACTAAGCTGAAACAATGCGTCATTAACATGTCTGTCAGTTTGAAGAATGTACTGTCCATCCCCTTTATCCCCCTCATCCCCTTCTCGCCATTCAACCAACGGCCGGTTTATAATCTAGTTACGGCATGCTGTGATAGGCTTGAACTCGTTTATCAGGCTTTACATCGGACTGTATACGACACATGTGTTAATATGTATGCCCATCTCTCCACACAGGGTATGCTAGCAACGAATGTAAATACTATATATATTATTTTTATCTATAGTTTAACAACTATAAACATATGAACTTATTAAACACCCATACATGTATTAAATTTTTAAAAAATTCCTATCCTTAAAAAATATATTTAAAAACCTTTAAATTAATATGCGTTTAAATGCACTGAAAAATAAAGCAAACTTGCATTTCTTTAATGCATGGTTTGGTCGCTAAGACATGTAAGAGATCTCATGAGCCGGAACTCAATTTATCGTTTTTACACACAGTCAGGCGTCAGAGACATGACTACATAGCTGGATTCTTCCAACTCAGGATGGGTGATACGTCGCGATTTGTTAAAATCTCGATTTCAATACTTCTTTATAATTGATACACGAAAAATTAACAACGCAATAGAAGCTTAACTAATTGTTTATTTTTCATATCAACCATAGAATCGGTGCTTTTGGCTACAGTTCTGACTACCAACCAACAATAATACCATTCGGAACAAGCCCAACCAATGCTCGAAATATGCTTCGTATTTGGGTGTCTGGTCCTAATGTAAGTTACATCTCTACTTATTAGAAGTAGCTATTTAGATACAATTGATAAATTATATATCTGTGTGTAGGGTGGGTCCTGGACCTACAGAGGACTGGATATGATCCTATCACCCCCAACCACATCAAACAACAGGCTGGTCATCTTGTCAACTCAAGGATCTTTCAAATCCACAAGGAGGTTTTTGGCTCAAACTAGTTATAACAGAGTTAAAGCACTTGGCTGGAATATTTTCGTCATTGTTATAAAGGTATGGAAAAATAGTTTCTCAAATGTTTTTTTTTTAATTTTTATTAAATATTATCATCATCTATTCTCTTTTGTGCCCAAGAGAAACGGGGTCGCCACAGAAAGTTCTGTCCACTTTTGCCCGTCTATGGTAATTGTTTGGGCAATCCAAAACAGATAGTCCTGTCTTTGTCAGTTGCTTTGCTGCTGTGAGCCTGTTTAATATGTAATATTTTTCAACGAAATAAAACACATTGCCAAGTATAAACTAACTGGATTAAATCCACAATAAAAACAAAAAATTGAATCGAATCAAAAGATAAGGATAAAAGAATAATTTTTTACATTTCTGAGCATATTTTTATCCAATCATTTAATGCCGATACTTTGCTACGTTAAAGAAAGAAAAACGTATTTTCTTCTTTAAAACCCTTTTACCAAGATTATAGCTTATAGATAAGAGAAATAATGGTACCTTATTTTTACTTTCTCGTATATACGAAGTATAGCGAAAGTCTTGTAATCGTGCAAAAAAAAAAATCGAGATTTTTACAAATCTCGACGTTTTACACCTCACTGATACGGAAAAACATAATTTTGCAATCTTGTCCGTATGACTGTGTGTCTGTCTGTCTGTCTGCCTGCCTGTCTGTCTGTCTGTCTGTCTGTCTGTCTGTCTGTCTGTCTGTCTGTCTGTCTGTCTGTCTGTCTGTCTGTCTGTCTGTCTGTCTGTCTGTCTGTCTGTCTGTCTGTCTGTCTGACTGTCTGTCTGTCTGTCTGTCTGTCTGTCTGTCTGTCTGTCTGTCTGTCTGTCTGTCTGTCTGTCTGTCTGTCTGTCTGTCTGTCTGTCTGTCTGTCTGCCTGACTGTCTGTCTGTCTGTCTGTCTGTCTGTAAACACGATATCTTGAGTACCGTTACAGCTAGGTTGATGAAATTTCATATATAAGTATTTTATCAAAATCGTAGATCCGTATCAACTTTTGAGCGATTTACGATCACCGGAAATGGTACTTTTTCTACTTTCAATTTTTCAAAAGCCTATAATTTGAGTACTATTTCAGATAGATAAATGAAATTTCACATGTAAGTAAAAGATCTAATTCTCTACCTTCGGTTAAATTTATAAAGTACTAATAAAAATTGCGCACTATTATGCACTTTTTTATTTGGCGTTCACTTGATGTGCAATTCTTTTGTCTACGAGATTTTATTCTATGTTTAAAACTTTAAGTATTTAAAATGGATTAAAAATCATGTCTATAGCCCGAGTTCTCATCCCCTGTTGTTTTATATAAGAATATTTTAGAAAGTTTAGGGGGGATCACTCCCGGTTTATTTTACATTAATTTTTTGTATAATAATAATTAATAATAATACTAACTTAGAATGAAGATTTAAAAAAAAAACAACTAAATATGCAAACAATAAGCTATGTTGATAAGATTTCTTTAGACCTTTGTCAAGTAGCGTATTCTAAATTCGTTTGGCCTTAGCATTACTATAGCTGTATCATTATTAAAAAGATATTGTATTACAAATTAAGGGAAAGAACACTGTTGACTATGAAGAGTTGAACTTTGGTGCAAATGCCGTGGTTGCTAATGTCACAGACCCGATTAACCCATCGAACCCTAAGAGCTACAGGTACCTGGCTCCAGAGCTCACCAAACAAATCAATTCAGTGTGTCTTCCTGTGGCTACTACAAGTACCACTAAACCTGTAATACAAACAACAGCAACTACCAAGACAACAGCGACGTCAACGACAACACCTTCAACAACTACAACAAGAACTACCACGCCATCAGGTGGGTGTAAATTCAATTAGTATTTAATGTTCTGAAAGTTGTAGTTGGATCTATATCGAATAATATACACGTGATCTCTGATAACAAAAATAAAATGGCGAATTCTTTTTATTTTATAATATTTGAACACAACATATTTCTGTCAGGGACGAATACGCCAGGCTTAAAAAAGATTAAAATGAAAAACATAATTTCAGTTTCTAGCCAAATTTATGATGATTTTCATCCTAATAGGGTTGGCAAGTAGGTCACCAACCAGTTCTATGGCTCATGTAGGTTTTATTGAGCAATAGAACTGGTTGGTGACCTACTTACCAGCCCTATTGAACGATGCAAACTATTAATGTGTTCTCTATTCTAATGTTTTTAAATTGTTGATACACATTATTCAGTAGTTCCCTAACTCGCGTTTTCACAGTTGTATACTTACATTCAAAATTTGTTTCAAAGCGTGTCAACCAATAGAAATAGTTTTCTTGCTGGACCAATCAGAAAACGCGAGAAAAGCCTCCACGGATAAATCAAGCGGGAGGCAATTCAACTTTCTCCGAGATGCCATTCAACGTTTTTTATGGCAACCTGATGTTCTTATTGCCCTTTATGAACTGAGGTAACTAAAAATAAAAGAAAAATCTAACACGGTAAACAGTGTTACTTCCAGACATCGAAGAGATGCCTCGAAGAAACTCTGACTGTTAAGCAATAGAAAGACCTATGTTTATTTCGGGTTATCAGATTTCAAGTACATAATATATGCCCGTCTGGATCGGGTAAAATATAAAACAAAAATTCTAAACGCGAGACAAGATGTCTTATGATGCTTTTAAGTGTATTAAACTTGCAAATGTTTCTTCTCTATCAGAATCGACATTTATGGTTTTAGTGGAAACAGCAGTGTGACGTTTTACAGCCGAAGATCCTACCCTGAAGTTTCTCTGTTTCTAATGGACAATATTAAAAATGTAAGTAAGATTCGCGTAGAGAAAATAATATATTTAATGTATAATATATTTAAAATATAAACAAATGGATTTCCCATGGTATTGCTATTTTACCTACACGAAAATAAAGACATTTTTACAATATTTTTTACATATCGTTTGTTATAAAAAGCTGTAAAATGTTGATGGACTGTATTATTTTAATTTTAAATACGTACACAAAAACATAGATTTCATATATCAATGTAAATGTTTTTTTTACTAATTATTACAAAATGGTTAAAAATGCTATCGAGTATAATACAGATTAAACGTTTTACTATAATCATCAAAATAATTGTAGAACAGCTTACTTGATAAAATTTTGAGAATGGCAATAACAGAATTTTATTTACTTGTAATATTTGACGATCGAAACTTCTAGAACAAAGAGACGTGGCTGTATAAGGGGCTGGAGGTGATCGACTACCGCCCGACCCACACAAACAACCGCCTGGTCATCATCACCAGCCAAACGTCAGAGAACACCGCCGTGAGACTACACACACAGAGAGAGCTGAGCAGGGTCCAGGCTTTGGGCTGGATACCCCTGGTCATTGCTGTTAAGGTAAGGGTGGTCATTGCTGTTATGGTAAGGGTGGTCATTGCTGTTAAGGTAAGGGTGGTCATTGTTGACAAGTTAACGGTGGTCGTTAATGTCAAGGCAAGGGCTTCCTGGAAACTGATCAAACACATTGAAATATTTCTATCTAATATGAGGTTTCATATTTGTAAAATATTGGATGTTTTTAAAATTGATGACGAAGTGTAATGATGGCTTCACTGTCGTATTTTGAAATACGGAGGATCTTCCGGTACATAAGGTCAGAGGCGTAATGACAATTCCGGGCGCCCGGGGACAAACTTTCAATTTGGTGCCCCCCCTCCCCACCCCTGGGAATAAACTTTCAATTTGCCCCCCCCCCCACCCCACACATGGGAAAAACTTTCAATTTGAAATATTTCTATCTAATATGAGGTTTCATATTTGTAAAATATTGGATGTTTTTAAAATTGGTGACGAAGTGTAATGATGGCTTCACTGTCGTATTTTGAAATACGGATGATCTTCTGGTACATAAGGTCAGAGGCGTAACGACAATTCCGGGCGCCCGGGGACAAACTTTCAATTTGGTGCCCCCCCCTCCCCACCCCTGGGAATAAACTTTCAATTTGCCCCCCCCCCCCCACCCCGCACCTGGGAAAAACTTTCAATTTGCCCCCCCCCCCCCCCCCCAATATATTTTTTCATATTTATAATGCAAAACTGCAGCTAAAATGAGCCTTTGATTTTTTTTTCAAACCCATTTTGGCGCCCTCTAGGGTCGGCGCCCGGGGACATAACTACCCCCCCCCCCCTCGCTAATTCTGCATTAGGTAAAAGGCTAGAATCTCAGCTGTGTTAAAAAAAATTACCATCAAAATATTGTGTCCGTTTATAAAACCCCCGGTCTAGCTACCCCGTGGACGTAAACCCCCTGGACAAATACTCGTGGCATAAACCCCCTATTAACTTTAAAATGTGTGGGGTTTTTTTTCGACCTTCTGTACTTCACTTTAGGGGACGGATTGGTCTAGCGGTAGAGAGCTGAACTGCTGACCCGTAAGTCTCGAGTTCGAATCCGGGTTCAAGTCAGTAGACCGTCCCTGAGTCAACCCAACTGTGATGGTTACCTAACTCAAGATAGGGAGAGTAAAGGCGGATGGGAATAGTGCTGACCACACTATATCATCATATGCCGAGGTCACAGAAAGAAGTTAACTCTACTTCACTCGCCCCATAGACCATCAGGTTTGAAAGGGAAACTTTACTTTTAATTAACTTTAAACGTACACTTTTCAGGGTGAAAATGAATTGAATTTGGATGAACTAACGTGTATAAATGGCGGGAGAAGACCGATAATCCTTGATGACTTGAACGACAAAAATCCGCAGAGTTACCGCCTCTTGCCGATGGCCCTTCAACTACTGCTGGACAATGTCTTCTGTCAGGGCATGCAGTCGGATGTCTTGAAGAACCTTTGTGTAGAGTAGAGGCCCTTGATTGAATGGAGAGAAATACAAATGTCATACTGCATGACCTGGAAACATTAATCTTTAATCATTACTATTTGTCTTATTTTCATTGAAATATGCATCCACTTAATCCCACATACACACACACAAACATACATGCACATTGTCTGATTTCACCGTAAGACATATTTAGCATCTAAAAATTGTACTTAAATACAACAGTTTACAAAATAAAAAAAACAACTTTGAAGTAGAGCAATATTTCGACTTCTAAAATAACGAAGCGCTCCTGTATAAATTCATCTAGACAGCATGCACAAGAGAAATATGTTATAGTGTTACCTGTTTAAAATATTGTGACATTATTATTAATATGATCTCCATTAGATGTTTAGGTGATGTTATTTTTGACAAGATTTAAACTTTAGTAAACAGTCAGTTAGGTTAAAGTAGATTAAAATGTAAAATAAAATGGCGAAGTGCCACACGTCAGAAGTTTTTGTCTGCCAGCCAAATTAAACGCCCCTAACCACAGTACTTTTAAACCCAGTCAAATCTTTATAAAACAAATATAAAAACTCTTTTTTTTTTACAGCAACAGGCTTTTAAATGCACTGAAAATACGAAAATAAAATTAACTTGCTTTCTAAAAGGTTTTTATATTTGTTTTATTTTCTACTTTTAAGTCATTCATAATCTATATTCACCAATTCTGCAACTAAAATTATTTTTTTAAAAACACTATCTGTAGCCTGTGAGAGATGATTATCCTCCCTCTCCCCACCCCTCTCTTCCCTTGCGAAAGCAGCCATCCGTGACGACAGTTTACAGACGACAGCAACCAGATTAAGTAGATCATGTTACCAACCCATAATTTTAAATCAATTAAAAACTATATTATTTGCCCCTAATAGTCTTCACTAGATCGATTAATTCTACGATTTAAAACATTCTCGTGCACCACAGCACACCAGACTGTTAGGATGATCGCGTCTAGCTATTTATCTCCCCTTCTGTTATTGAATATAGTAATATAGCGAGCGATTTAATTTTGTTATCTCCCTTTAGTTTCGAAACTATTTAATTAATCTTTGATGAAAAAAATTAAAAATCTTATTAAATCAAAATATAGAAAAGCTTGTGTTGTCTTCGAAGTGAAAAGCATATAGAAAATCTAAACGAAATCGCTGGATTGGAAGTTTTTCAAAATTAAGTTACACGATTTTCCACAAACCCACAAACAAACAAACAAACACACAATGCGAACTAAATGAAAACTTGTAATAATGGCAGGATTCGATGGGATTTACTAATGCTGTATGGCATTTGTTTCTCTACTGAATGCAGGTTAATTCCTTGCTATTGTTAGAAACCCCCAAAACTATAAATCCCATAAAATTAACAAAACCTTTAATTTTAAAATGTCTAAACGCTGTAAAGCAGTTAAAGTATACATGAAAGGTGAACAAAGTATATACACACTTGAATACTACACGTTTTTTGGTAACACATTAACGTATAATGGAAAAACAAAACGAGTTATACATCTTTATTATACAAAATGAAATCATTAAAAACCACCAATTTTTTCAGATAACTCTCAACCCGAAAAAGATGAATTAATCCTGTGCTGATATGTTTTCCTTTTAGTTTTGATCATGCTTTTTAACCAGTTCAATCGATTTAGGCCCACTGCTCTTCTTTTATAGGCACGAGGATTCAGTTATGTTGTTGTCCATAGTTTATAAGGGCAACACCTTCAGCAACTTTTCGAAACACCTGTTTTTCCCATGTGTTCCTTTTATACAACTTCTGCAATTTAATAAATTCAAACCGTTTAGATATACATACATTATAAGACCTATATTTAAATAGTTTAAAGAAAATATAATGCTTTTTTCAAAAGTCCAGTTAGTTAAAGGCAGAGGTAGTGTTCTATTGCTACTCTGACTAATGTCCTTTCCCATACTGTATGTATGTGCTGTTAGCTTTTCTACATATAAGCTGGAATTTTATTCCCTTAAAACAGGCGGCGTGTTTATACTTTCCGATCATAACATTAACAATCTTACCAAAAACCTAGCAATACACAAAATAAGAGAAAGAAAAATGAAGATTATCCATCTTTACAATAAATAATACAAGATAACTATGGCACATTGAGTCCGATGTGGACAGTGACATCTCGGGAGGCTAATACTAGTTTGCCAAAGGAGTTATAAGATAAGTGAGCAATGAATCTATTTCCTTTTAGTTTAGGTTCGTTATAAATTTATGAACTAAGACCTACAATCCCAAGAGACTAGTAGTTGTTTATCTTACCAGAAATTATTCAAAAACCGTCGTATCCATACAGAGAGGCGGTGCTATAGAAGTCAAGTTTAATTCAAACACTTTTTTGGTTGATGCCCGCATGAAGAATTTGAACTTGGCACTGGGACAGGGGTTGCAGACAAGCCCACATCATACCACATAAAATATAGAATCCAAAATATTGGGTGTATATAAATTATTTCAAATAAAATGTGAAAAAGTTAAAAACAAAGTAGTAGCGAAAAAAAAACCACCAAACATAATCCAACATATTAAACAGTTCGTGTTCTTTTTTTATAATTAGAAATTCTAATTCAAATAAAACTCGAATCTCCCTAAATATGGAACAAATGTACTGTATAAATAAGCATTAAAAGGGAGACGATCAGTAAAGGTTGTTTTCGGTGGCATCAGGGGATAAAAAAAGATCTTTAAAAATCAAAAACGAAAAAACGCTAAAATAATTAACAACGAAACCATCGAATTAAAGATCACTATTTTTTTCCCGTCGTTGACAATCCTTATGTTCTCTGGAAATGTAAACAAAACAGATTCTTTTACAAACGAAATATAATTGGAATGGTTTGAAGCACATTCACCTGTTTTCTGGTTATATAAACAAAGCATTTTTTTAATAAACGAAATAAAATTTTCAATGTTAAAAAAAAACGAATTTTTTTTTGCATTATCCACAAACAAATCAATTAACTCGTTTACAATTCTCAAATTCCAGTAGTTGTAGTAGTTCGTTTGTTTTAAGCTGGTTCTTTTTTAAGCTGAACGAATTAAATAATATTTTCACATGAATTTTTTTTATAATTTAATAAAAAGAAAATGTTTCAAATTTAGCAATTATAATTTATGTAAATTGATGCCGAAAGACGTCTTAAATATTCTAATGCACAAAAAAAAAAAAAAAAACGAACGCAACTAAGTAAAAACACATTTTAAAAAAAAGAAAAAAGTAGTAAAAACACATAAATAGCACAACACAAGGAAAACAAAGCTTGAACGATACGACATTGGCTTAACAATGAATAATGCATTAAAGTTTTCAAGTAGAGATATTTTTAAATGTCATCAGCAATATTTAGGTAAGTTCTATTTATATCATTTCTACTTAATTGTCTTTGTATAAGATCAATGTTTACATGAATAGGCCTCCTTATGAGTAATAGATATTATGTAAATAATAACCTATAGAAATGTACTAAAAATGATATTTATAAATTTATTATTATATAATTATTTACATAATAATACATTTTTAAATATCATTTTTTTTGTTTCCTTGATTAGAAATTAAATATCTAAATGTAATGTATTTTAGGAATTATCCTAAATCTGTTACTTGATTTTTTGTTTTTGTATTCTAATGTTAGTATAAATTTTAATTATGCATATCAAAATAATTCAGGAATTAAAGTATACTATTGTATCTTATACTTATGTATAAAGTTTAGTCTGCCCAACTGAACATATTCTCAAGTGACTATATTCACAGTGACGTAGATCATAGTTCCCCACCCACACACAATACCAGTGCACATAAAAACCACTAACTAGTAAAGTGGATCAATCACAATAAATAGTAGGTTAGTAGATCGTGTCCGTTCTAGATACTGTTAACTCTTATCTGTTACTATATTCTCTTTTATTTTTTGAAAGAGTGAACTCTTTATTCACCCCACCTTCTCGAGGTTCATCACCGCAATTGTATTTATTTGCATGCCAATAAATTATTTCATGAACTGTTTGGGTATCCATTTATTTTCCTGAACTTAGACCCGCCGCTTAAGCTGAATTTCTAACTAGTGGTGTATTCCTATATCACATATATGGTTTGTTAGTTTGTTTCTTTTTGTATACGTGTATATTGTATGTTTCTTCCTACGTGTATTTAGATATAGTTCAATAATGATTGAAGCCTTAAAACGAATAAAAAGGAACAAATAGGATAATTATCTTTGGTTTATGTATTAAAGGGATAGAGATTAATATCCTTTCTTCGGAAATATGGATTATATTTCTAAATATAATATATAAAACTTCAATAGGGAAATACATCAGAATCCCGATGTGGATTTTAATGCATAAGAAATTAAATAAACAGCTAAAATGTTTCTTACCAATAAACACATAGTATACCACGATTAAAAAGCTTCCACCTATTAGCGCCAGCGTGCCAAACAGACTGAATGGTTCCCTGTGGGTAAAGCAATACATGATATCAACTTTACACGGGTGATGTCTGTCTACGTTTTTTCCTGTATACAAACTGTATAAAAACAAACAGCAGTGCTTATGTTTATATGTTAAGGTACATGATCAAGTGCAGGTCAACTAGAAGACACTGTTACATACAAGTACACTTGCAGGTACTGGTACGTATAAATAAATAAATAAATAAATAAATAAATATACATATATATATATATATATATATATATATATATATATATATATATATATATATATATATATACACCCATTTATCAAACAATAAATCCAATAAAACCACCAACCATCGACAACAGTGTTGGTTTTCTGCAGGACCGCAACAGCCGAACAAGCACGTGGAGAAAAAAATTGTAAATGGCGATGACCTTCTCTCCGAAGAACGGCAGATTCTCACTGTTGACAATAACCATTGTTTAGATTTGACTATAACAAAATACCCCTTTTACGCATTGAATTTTAGTTTGTTTTTGGTAGTGCTTGATCTTTTCATTCACTCTGTAATCTTCTATATACTACTAAAACTCAAGTTTGTTTACATGTTTGAATATTTATTTTTTTGTTTTTTTTTTTGTTTGTCTGATAGAGTATTGTAAATAGTTCTACTCATTATGGAGAGCTGTAAAATAGTATTTAGGTAGAGACCAATGTGTCTTTTCAGACAGACTGTTAATCACACATTTATTTAAATACGTTAATTAATTTATTGATTTATTCATAGGTAGATTAACCACAATTTTGTAAAAGATTAGAAAAACCACTAGACTCGACGAAACAGTGACGTCACAGTTTTTTGTTTACTTTTTGTACAATAAAATGGCGGCTTCCATCATAGGCCCATTCAAAAGTTTAACGCGTTCTACATCTAATTTTCTGTCGGCCATAACTTTAACAATACGTCCGTTTGCTGTTTTTATTACGTTCCAACACTTATATTAATTTTCAACTGTCTTTTTCTTTTAGTTTTACAATAAATTTCTCTAGCTCTACAATCTGTGCAAGAAAGTTATTTATAGATCTAAAAATATCATATGGCCAAGCAAGTTATTTATAGATCTAGATCTAGAATCTAGGTCAAACAAAATATTAATTAGATACATACAAAAGATTACTTAAATAAAAATACAATCCATTTTATAATCATAATACATTTTTAATCCTTAAATACTTGATATAAATCTTTGTGATTTATCTATCTAGATCTAGATTCTAGATCTAGAATTTCTAGATTCTTAGAATCTAGCAAGAGTTACGCAAATACTAGATTCTACTAAGTATATGAAGGGATAGTGTGGTCAGAGACATGATCGGCTGGAATCGTCGTTTAAACGATAAAAACATGTTGTCTGAGACTTTGCGAGACACTGGACAGGTGAAGTAGAGTTGAGTAGGTCACCTGTGACGTCAGTATATAAAGGGATAGTCCGAAATCGGTGTTTTCGGTGTTTTTAAAAGATAAAAAACATATTTTTGAATGTGGGGTCTGTTTTTTTGTGACGATAAGTGACACTGCAATAGCGTAGCGAGGGGGGGGGGGACGACATATGTCCCCGGGCGCCGACCTTAGGGGGCGCCAAAATGGGTTGGAAAAATAAATTGAAAGGTTGAGGGGGGTGCAAATCGAAAGTTTGAGTGGGGAGGTGCAAATCAAAATCTTGCGGGGGGGGGGGGGGGGCTTCAAATCGAAAAACTGTCCCCGGGCGCGGGAAGGGTCGATACACCTCTGAGTGACAGACGAGATGTTTTTTTATGGATGACGCCCGAAATCCACAGTTATCCAACGGATAACGGGTAGTCTAGTATTCTAATAAAAGCCTCTCTTGATTACCCCGAATATTCAATAAGTTCTTGTAGAGCTTAATTGAATATAATTTCAAATTTAAAACCTATATTGCATGTAAAAATAATTGTCACGAAATAAGTTTGCTTTATAATATATATGTTACCTTTGATTTCTCTAAACAAAGTCTTCAGCGCCACAACTGCGGAGGTAAAAATATTTTCTTTTAATTCTTTTATCACATCTTTACGTCTGGTTATAAAAAGAATTTAGCGGCTTAAGGTCTACACCGTTCGATCATTAGTTCCCTTATGTCTACCCAGCTGGAGCTTTGTGATCTGTATGGTAACTACCTGTGTCTAAAGGTATTGTGAATACATGTGTCTACATGTATAGTAACTACCTGTGTCTACCTGTATGGTATCTATATGAGTCTACCTGTATTGTGACAACCCCTGACTAAACCTGTTTACCTGTATTGTGCCTACCCCTGACTAAACCTGTCTATCTGTTTTGTGGCTACCCCTGACTAAATATTTCTACCTGTATTGTGAATACCCCTGACTAAATCTTTCTACCTGTATTGTGAATACCCCTGACTAGACCTGTACTATGACTACCCCTGACTAAACCTGTCTAACTGTATTGTGGCTACCCCTGACTAAACCTGTACATTGACTAACCCTGACTAAACCCCTATTGTGGCTATCCCTGACTAAACCTTTCTACCTGTATCGTGGCTACCCCTGACTAAACCTGTCTACCTGTATTGTGCCTACCCCATACTAAACCTGTCTACCTGTTTTGTGGCTACACCTGACTAAACCTGTCTACCTGTATTGTGGCTACCGCTGACTAAACCTTTCTACCTGTATTGTGCTACCCCTGACTAAACCTGACTACACCTGTATTGTGACAACCCCTGACTAAACCTGTCTACCTGTATTGTGCTACCCCTGACTAAACCTGACTACACCTGTATTGTGACAACCCCTGACTAAACCTGTCTACCTGTATTGTGCTACCCCTGACTAAACCTGACTACACCTGTATTGTGACAACCCCTGACTAAACCTGTCTACCTGTATTGTGCTACCCCTGACTAAACCTGACTACACCTGTATTGTGACAACCCCTGACTAAACCTGTTTACCTGTATTGTGCCTACCCCTGACTAAACCTGTCTACCTGTATTGTGACAACCCCTGACTAAACCTTTCTACCTGTATTGTGCTACCCCTGACTAAACCTGACTACACCTGTATTGTGACAACCCCTGACTAAACCTGTCTACCTGTATTGTGGCTACCCCTGACTAAACCTGTCTACCTGTATTGTGGCTACCCTTGACTGAACCTGTATTGTGACTACCGCTAACAAAATCTGTCTACCTATATATATTGTTTAGTAGGTAAATGTGACACATATACAAAAACATGTTTTTCGTCCGTGAATATTTCAACGATCCTAGCATTACCATTTGGCTGACACCACAAAAAGACTGACATTGTCACAAATAATGAGTGAACGTGGCAGCCTACATACCATAGACTACGATCACTGGAAACAGTAGTATCAAGCGGAAGATTATTCTCTTCATTGTTTACAGTAGCTATGAAATTACGGAAGTGTCAGTTTTTCAAAACACAGTCGTCATGGAATTGTTGCCAGAAAGTAATTTTGCGCCAAAGTTACTTTTAAAATAAAAATAAAAAATATATACGACATAATTTTACCGAGGCTTTATGTGTTCTTCAGGTCGTGGCAGAAAATTAAATTTCACGGCAGATCAAATCACGTGACCATGTTAAACTATCTGTGGGCCTCTACTGTAGATTCAACACTTGTAAAAATAGAAAAAAACAAACATCCGTAGCCGTTTGTTGGAGATACATGTAGGGCAAGACGCGGAGGTTGCCGGTAAAAGAAGTATCTCAAGAGTAGGAGCTCTGCTGACCATTGGCCAGGGTTATTAGTAGTTGACTATAGAGGTAGTGTGAAATAGTTGACTAGCGGCAGTGTGAGATAGTTGACTATAGTGGCAGTGTGAGACAGTTGACTATATAGGCAGTGTGAGATAGTTGACTATAGAGTCAGTGTGAGATAGTTGACTATAGAGTCAGTGTGAGATAGTTGACTAGAGGCAGTGTGAGATAGTTGACTATAGGCAGTGTGAGATAGTTGACTATAGAGTCAGTGTGAGATAGTTGACTAGAGGCAGTGTGAGATAGTTGACTATAGAGGCAGTGTGAGATAGTTGACTATAGAGTCAGTGTGAGATAGTTGACTAGAGTCAGTGTGAGATAGTTGACTAGAGGCAGTGTGAGATAGTTGACTATAGGCAGTGTGAGATAGTTGACTATAGAGGTAGTGTGAGATAGTTGTCTATAGAGGCAGGATGAGATAGTTGACTATAGAGGCAGTGTGATAAAGGCAGTGTGAGATAGTTGACTATAGAGGCAGTGTGAGATAGTTGACTATAGAGGTAGTGTGAGATAGTTGTCTATAGAGGCAGTGTGAGATAGTTGACTATAGAGGCAGTATGAGATAGTTGACTATAGAGGCAGTGTGATAAAGGCAGTGTGAGATAGTTGACTATAGAGGCAGTGTGAGATAGTTGACTATAGAGGCAGTGTGATAAAGGCAGTGTGAGATAGTTGACTATAGTGGCAGTGTGAGACAGTTGACTATATAGGCAGTGTGAGATAGTTGACTATAGTGGTAGTGTGAGATAGTTGACTATAGAGGCAGTGTGAGATAGTTGACTATAGAGGCAGTGTGAGATAGTTGACTATAGAGGCAGGATGAGATAGTTGACTATAGAGGCAGTGTGATAAAGGCAGTGTGAGATAGTTGACTATAGAGGCAGTGTGAGATAGTTGACTATAGAGGTAGTGTGAGATAGTTGACTATAGAGGCAGGATGAGATAGTTGACTATAGAGGCAGTGTGATAAAGGCAGTGTGAGATAGTTGACTATAGAGGCAGTGTGAGATAGTTGACTATAGAGGCAGTGTGATAAAGGCAGTGTGAGATAGTTGACTATAGAGGCAGTGTGAGATAGTTGACTATAGAGGTAGTGTGAGATAGTTGTCTATAGAGGCAGTGTGAGATAGTTGACTATAGAGGCTGTGTGAGATAGTTGACTATAGAGGCAGTGTGATAAAGGCAGTGTGAGATAGTTGACTATAGAGGCAGTGTGAGATAGTTGACTATAGAGGTAGTGTGAGATAGTTGTCTATAGAGGCAGTGTGAGATAGTTGACTATAGAGGCAGTATGAGATAGTTGACTATAGAGGCAGTGTGATAAAGGCAGTGTGAGATAGTTGACTATAGTGGCAGTGTGAGACAGTTGACTATAGTGGTAGTGTGAGATAGTTGACTATAGAGGCAGGATGAGATAGTTGACTATAGAGGCAGTGTGATAAAGGCAGTGTGAGATAGTTGACTATAGAGGCAGTGTGAGATAGTTGACTATAGAGGTAGTGTGAGATAGTTGTCTATAGAGGCAGTGTGAGATAGTTGACTATAGAGTCAGTGTGAGATAGTTGACTATAGAGGCAGTGTGAGATAGTTGACTATAGAGGTAGTGTGAGATAGTTGACTATAGAGGCAGGATGAGATAGTTGACTATAGAGGCAGTGTGATAAAGGCAGTGTGAGATAGTTGACTATAGAGGCAGTGTGAGATAGTTGACTATAGAGGTAGTGTGAGATAGTTGACTATAGAGGCAGGATGAGATAGTTGACTATAGAGGCAGTGTGATAAAGGCAGTGTGAGATAGTTGACTATAGAGGCAGTGTGAGATAGTTGACTATAGAGGTAGTGTGAGATAGTTGACTATAGAGGCAGTGTGATAAAGGCAGTGTGAGATAGTTGACTATAGTGGCAGTGTGAGATAGTTGACTATAGAGGCAGTGTGAGATAGTTGACTATAGAGTCAGTGTGAGATAGTTGACTATAGAGGCAGTGTGAGATAGTTGACTATAGAGGCAGTGTGATAAAGGCAGTGTGAGATAGTTGACTATAGAGTCAGTGTGAGATAGTTGACTATAGTGGTAGTGTGAGATAGTTGACTAGAGGCAGTGTGAGATAGTTGACTATAGAGGTAGTGTGAGATAGTTGACTATAGAGTCAGTGTGAGATAGTTGACTATAGAGTCAGTGTGAGATAGTTGACTATAGTGGTAGTGTGAGATAGTTGTCTATAGAGGCAGTAAGATAGTTAACTAAAGCAGATATGGTTACAACATTAATAACATGTACTAGAAGTTGAGTTATATTTCACTGAATTAGTTGATTCAAATTGAGAAATCGTTTTTTTTTTGTAAAATATGTATTATTTTGAATCGTTTCACACCATTAACACACGTCTTTCGCAAATTAAGGATTTTATTATATATTATTAATTGTTATTGGTGATTTACATAATTAATTTTAATATAAGAGCATAAGTAAACTAGAGTGTATGCCTTGGTACAGTCGTGTCAAATATTGACAAGGATGAAAGGAGCTAACGCGGAAGTTTAAAGAGGCTTAAGATAAACGCAAGTAAAATAAAGACGATGTTACAGTCGGTAAATGAGGAGTTGGATCTTCCAATTTAGTCTTGCACAATTTTAAGATTTTTGTTGGCATATTCGTATTGGGGCAAGTGCTGTTATACAAATTTATATATATATATATATATATATATATATATATATATATATATATATATATATATATACTTATATATATAAATATATATATATATATATATATATATATATATATATATATACTTATATATATATATATTTGTAAATATATATATACATATATATAAACTTATACATATACATACATATAGGTATATATATAAATAAGCATATTCATATATTTAAAGTCTATATATATACACTGTGTCTAAAGTGATAGTATGTTTTTGTAGGTTATATGTATCAATTAACCTTATTTTCACCCTTTTGTTTAAAGTACCTGACGCCAAATAAAAATACAACTACCATGATGACTAATGTACTGCTGGTGATTTTATTTAGTATTATTACAACTTGTATTTCACAAGGTAAGCATACACATGTATTAACACCTATGTATTGAAGTTTGATTAATAAACTAATAAACTACAGCTAACCTTAAGTTGATCATTATTTTTACTTTGATAATAATCAACGTTTAGTTATGACTAGCTGAAAATATGTTTTTAACTATCTTTTTAAACAAAATACACATTTTTCGCATTGAATTTTAGTTTAGAATTATACTACTTAAATACAGCTAAGCTTAAATTGATCATTATTTTTTTCAACTTTGAAACTGCAAAACAGTAAATATGTTTAATAATCCAAATTAAAAACAATTCTAATGCCAGTCTAACCATCTATAATAATAGTTTCGCTGTCTGTCTGACAAGAACGCTCTGTCTGACAAGAACGCTCTAGAGAAAACACAAGCAATTTAAAAACATGCATAGTATTTCGAAAAACGAAGTATGACGTCGACACATTTAGCACAGAGTAGAAAATAATCTCAAGGCGGAAAGTGCACACAGTAATATAATGACGTCATTGATTATCGCGTAAACATTGAATAAAAAGGAAATGTTGTTTAATCTAAATGGTTTGCGTGAAGAGTTTCTTGCATACAATTCTTCGGGTAGGGGCGAAGCCCCACCCCCCGGGTGGGGTGTGGGGGTGGGGGGGGGGGGTGTGGGGGTGGGGGGGTGGGGGGTGGTGTGTGGGGGGGTGGGTTGGTTTCAGTGTTTCTTTCAGACTTTTTCCTCCCCGGAGAGGGGCGGGGGTACTTGAAATTTTCGGGGGCGGGGGTAGAATTTTCTGGGAGGGGGCGGACACTGGAAAAAGTATATAATTATATTTCGTTGAATGGGACGGTAGACATGTTTTTTTTTGGGGGTGGGGGGTGGTGGAGGGGTGGGGGGGTGGTGTGTGTGGGGGGGGGGGTGGGGGGTGTGTGTGGGGGGGTGGGGGGGGGTGTGTGGGGGGGGGGGGGTGGTGTGTGGGGGGGGTGGGTTGGTTTCAGTGTTTCTTTCAGACTTTTTCCTCCCCGGAGAGGGGTGGGGGTACTTGAAATTTTTGGGGGCGGGGGTAGAATTTTCTGGGAGGGGGCGGACACTGGAAAAAATATAATTATATTTCGTTGAATGGGACGGTAGACATGTTTTTGGGGGGGGGGGGGGGGGTGGGGGGTGGGGGGGCGGTGTGTGGAGGGGGTGGTGTGTGGGGGTGAGGGGTGGGGGTGGGGGTGGTGTGTGGTGGGGGGTGAGGGTGGGGGTGGTGTGTGGGGGTGGGGGGTGGGGTGAGGGTGGTGTGTGGGGGGGTGGGTTGGTTTTAGTTTAGAGATAAGAGACAGCACTTTCAGCCTAGCGCCCGTTCGGGTAGTGGCTAAGCGCGACACCAGTGTTTCTTTCAGACTTTTTCCTCCCCGGAGAGGGGTGGGGGTAATTGAAATTTTCGGGGACGGGGGTAGAATTTTCGGGAAGGGGGGCGGACACTGGAAAAAGTATATAATTATATTTCGTTGAATGGGACGGTAGACATGATTTTTTTGAGAGTGGGGGGTGGGGTGTGGGAGGTGGGGGGTGGCGGGGGGTGGGGGGGGGTGTGGGGGGGGGGGGGTTGGGGGGTGGTGTGGG